TTTTCCATGATCCCAGCAGACGGGGTAAGGGAGGAATCAGAGTCCTCGAGCCCTCGTTGGCTTTTGCAGGCTTTTATTGGGATTACCAGGTACACGGCAGGCAGGGGTACTGGGGGCCTGGGAGGCTGGCAGGCCTCCTAGCCCCCAGCAAGTCTTCACTCTATCTGGGCTCTCTGACCTTCTCTCATGGTTCTGCTGCTTCTCGGCTTCTGCTGGCGTCGCTGTGATGCCACCCTTATAAACTCCGTCTCTCAGCCCAGGTGAATCCCATCTACCTATGCCCACACCCTACTCCAGGTGCCCGCCATCAGGCATGCATTCGGGACCGCAGGGTTCCATCATCCATCCTAATGGCTGGAAGGCAGAAAAGCCTGATACTTTTTTACCTTACCCTACAGACTGCCACAGAGGGGTGGAAGGGTAGAAGTCCAGGTCCTCCACTCAGCCTCCCTGGACTCCTGGGGGATGAACTTTCCGTGTTATTGCCCAGCAGGGGTGGGAGTTAAATACCCAGGTAGGCACCCGCTGAAACCACCTGCATGGTAGGGGAGGGTAGCTCTTGCTACTCCCCACGGGGTTCCCCCTGTGGCCTTGTTACTCGAGTGGTGATGAAGTCCGCATTCTCCGCCAGCCTCTCTAGCAGTGAGGACAGGGCGGGGTGCTCAACACCGCTGTGGGGGTGGCATTTCAGGCTCCCCACATGGTCCCCACTAACACTGTGGGGAAGGCCAGGCAGTGGGGATGAAGGGTCCAGCTCCACACTCACCTCCTCAAATGGGGTTACCTGGGGGTGTAGTGGCAAGAATGGACACAGAGCAGGTTTTCTGATCCAGCAGACTGGGTAAAGGAGGAGTTAGAGTCCTCAGTAGCTTTTGCAGGTCTTTTGTTTAGATCTACCAGGCATATGGCAGGCAGGGGTGCTGGGGGGCCGGGAGGCTGGCAGTCCTCCCAGCCCCCAGCAAATCTTCACTCTATCTGGGCTCCCTGGCGTTCTCTCTGCTTTTCTTCTCTCGGTTTCCGTTCGTTCTTGGCTTCTGCTGGCGTCCCCGTAATGCCGCCCTTATAAACTCAGTCTCTCAACCCAGGTGTACCCACTTCAGGTGCCCGCCATCAGGCATGCGCTCAGGACCACAGGGTTCCTTCATTGATCCTAATGGCAGGAGGGCATAAAAGTCTGATACTTTTACCTTACCCTACAGGGGGAGTCTGGGTTCTTCATTATAGCCTGGCAAGGGTGGACATCTAGCCAACCACCCCCCCAGACTTTGCCATGGGGGTGTCAGGGTGTGGGGAGGCTGCAGGTTCTCCTGTATGTGGCTGGAGGAAAGCAGTCATTGCTTTCCTCATGGAAAGAGTTTGGTAAGAGTTTGATCTTTTTTTTTAAAAAAAAAAGAGATTTATTTATTTATGCATACAAGAGCTGGGGTGTAGGCCAGAGGTACAGGGGGTAAGAAGATTCACCAGAGACAGAGTGGGGAGCAGAACAGGCAGATCTACTGAAATACACTGCTGAGGGGAGCAGCAGGCAACTCAGGAGAGTCTGCTGTGCCATGTGGGTAGCTCCCTGGTCAGGGATCGAACTCGTGCTGCAGAGGATGCAGATAGCTTCACAGTGCTGAGACTTAACCCCTGGCGCTACCAGGGAGGCCCCATCCCTGCTTCTTTCTAAAAGCAGGGTGTTGTGGACCTTTTTTTTTGCCTGTGCCCATTGGCATTTCCGGTGTCAGCTTCCCCAGTATTCAGGGGAGGAGGTTGAGACACAGAGACAATTCACCCAGGCGGTTCACACCTTTCCACTCTCTGGCCCCAAGCTTCCGCACACACCCTCTGCTCACCTCCCAGTCTGCTCAGATTTGTTTTATGATATCCGGGGCTTTTCGTTGCACGTAGCAAAAGGAATGGGGTAAGGGCCTCCCTCTGCCCAGGACATGGCTGCTTTCTGAAGTTCATCATTCTATTTCCTTCCCAATGATCAGCAGAGTCGATAGTGGTGCCGGAGTGAAGTCACCTTGGATGGTTGTGACCTTGAAGACTCTTGAGTATGTAACACTAAGAGTGAAACTTGGGCCTCCCTGGTGGTGCAGAGGGTTGAACGCAGCGCTGTGAAGCTGTCCGCAGCCTCTGCAGTGCCAGTTCGATCCCCGCTGGCCTTGGAGCACCCCACATGGCAAGCAGACCTCTCCTGCCTCGCCCGCTGCTCCCCTCAGCAGTGTATTTCGTCAGTCTGCCTGTTGTGTTCCCCGCTCTGTCTCTGGTGAATCCTCTCACCCTCCCGTGCATCTGGCCTGTACCCCAGCTCTTGTACTAAAAAAAAAAAAAAAAAGAGTGAAACTTCCCTTCTCTGTAGGATTTGCATGGATTTGCCTGTGGTCTGGTTCTGGCCTCCAAACACTCACGGACCAGAAGCCTGATCAAGATGGCTGGTTTTAGTCTCAAGACGTACCCCTCAGGTGCACGGACAGAAGTTGGTTTCTCCTTTCTTTCTTTTTTTTTTTTTTTAATTTTATAGAGGCATGTTTTATTTATTTATTTATTTGTTTGTTTGTTTTGTTTATACATGCACTGGGTACAGTCAGAAGCGCGGGAGGGCGAGAGAATTCACCAGAGCCAGAGTGGGGAACAGAGCAGGCAAAGTACACTGCTGAGGGGAGCAGCGGGCGGCAGGAGAGGTCTGCGCGCCATGTGGGACCCTCCTCCGGCAGCTGGGGAGCAGCCGGGGATCGAACCGGCGCCACAGAGGCCGCGGGCACCTTCGCAACCCAGCACTCAACCGCTGCACCACCGGGGAGGCCCGGTTTCTCCTTTCTGATCTAGGAGCTCTTCTGAGGACCCTGGGGCCTGCTGGAACCCCCCCAACCCCCCCCCCCGCCCCGTGTCTGTCAGGTCTGGGCCCATGCATGCTTGTGAGGGCAAGTCGCGTGGACAGGTGTCACTCACTGCAAATACTTGAGCATTGACCTGAGCTGTTTTCAGGCTGACAGTTCTGAGCTGCTTGGCCTGAGCCGTTGGCCCTTCCTGAGGGCTGGTGGGAGGCTGCTGGGGCAGGGCCGCTCTGACGCGCATCTGATACTAATCATCCTACCTGGGGACAAAGCCTCAACATCTTCAAGTGTTCCTCTGACCTGGCTCCGATCCCACCCCCAGATCGTCCTGCCTCTCAGTGGCCCTCAGAGTCGAGAGGTGGGGGGTGTGGCCAAGGAGGATAAAAATCAGTCACTGGAGACTTTGCTGTGCTTCCCCTTTCACTCTCAGACGCTGCCAGGGTCCCTGAAGAGGGAAGACACAAGGAAACAGGTAAAAAAGGATTTTTTCTTTTGGATCCAACATGCAAGGAGCATAGAGGGGCTGCTGTGGGCCGGGCACAGACCCTCTCTCTTGCCTGCATTACCACAGGCTGTGGGGTTCTGTCTCTGGGCATCCCCCCAGCCCCACCAGGCCTGGCCAGTCTTCTGAGAGCAGGATGGCCCCTGGGCTTCCGGGAGGGCAGATGGACCTGGGGAGGTCAGCTCTGAGGTCCTGCCTATGCTGTGCAGGCCTCAGGCCTAGAGCCCATGACCTGGCTTGAGTCTCGTGCCTGCTCGCCAGCCTCCTGGCCCGCCCTCAGCAGCCTCTACTTCCGGGCCAGGGGCCCTTCTTCTCGTGCCCAGGGACTGCTTGGGGCTCTTGGGGGTGACCATGCAGCCCCGCTCAGACAAACCCCTGCCCTGTGCATCCCAGCATTCTCCAACCAGGCCCCAGTGAGGTGTGTCTGGTTGCTGCTGGCAGAGGGGCCACAAGGGCCCAGCCCCTGGGAGAGCCTCTTTGCCAAGGGGAACAAAATCTAGCCTGTGTGGGATCCCAAAGGGGGCCCAGAGCTTGTCGCCCAGAACGCTGGCTCTGGGGCCCTGCCCAGCTCTGCGTGACAAGCGTGAAGTAGATGCTCAGGCTGCAGACAGGTGCGGGGCGAGACTGGCCCTTCGCTGGGAGACGCCTGAAAACCACACGCAGCTGAGGAAAGGGCTTGAGAAGGTCTAGAGCTAAGTTTCCTCTTTCATTTTTTTAAACTCAGCTTTTCTCAAATAGACGTGACCTTAAAGCCTCTTTGGGCATATAACAATCTCAGCACCTGCAGACCTGGTAGCAACTCTGCCTAGAGAGCTCCCCGCACCCCTAGTCCAGCCCCAGGCCAGGCCAGCACGGCTGCCTCTGGTGACTGACCCCTTCCCGCTTTCAGCAGCAGCTGGGCTCCCTCACCAGGACTGCACACCCAGGGCCTTTGGCAAGAGGCCATCAGCACCAGGGCCCGGGGAGGTGGTGCCTGGGAAAGGCAGGGTGGGTGGGAGGTGAAAAGGCACTGACCGCAATGAGAAAGGAGACACACTCTGTGGGCACATCCTGCCAGCTCCCCGGGGACCCCTGAGGGAACAGCCATGCAAATAGGGACTTAAATTTAACTTTATGTAAATGCAACTCTATGTATAAGTCTAATAGCTTGGCCCAAGCTCACTGCAGGGGGTGGGCGGAGAGAAGTTGCAAACTGGCGCCCGCCCTCGACCTCTGACCTCCGCCTCTGGTCCACACACTGGCTTTGTCTGACCAGCGCTGTGCTGGATTTTTTATAGCAGGGCATTGCACCTGAAAAATCTGCTTGTTTCCTTTAAAAGAGGAAGACCAGAGGGTGGTGATCCCATGTTATCAGCCTGTTGCTGAATGTCGCTGCCTTTCCACAGGGCCTCTGTGCCCGCCTGCTTGACTGAGGCTTCTGACCCAGCCCCTGTGAACATCTGAGCGGGCCCCTTGGGCCTCAGCTTCCTGAGCCCTTCCGGTGCCCTCTAAGTGCTCTCCTGGCATCATACACCATCATTAGGTTTAGAGTTACTTTTGCCCTTGGTCCTTAAAATCAAAGTCAAGGCTGACCACATTTCTCCCCTAGGAAGACCCTCAACTCATTGCCCCAAAGCGAGCTCCAAGTTACCTGGGATCTGGCATCTGAGGTGCTCCATAGTCTGGTGCCACTCACAGCCTGACAGGTGGGCAGGAAGCTTGTAAAATGGTGGGTGGGCCAGGTGTTGGGCAGGAGCAGCTGGCCCTCCAGGCCCTGGGCTGGTCATAGAGGCACGCGGGCTCCAGGGAGGGGCTGTGGGCATCCAGCATTCCACATCCTGCCCTGCAATCGAAATGGTCCTCCCAGCATTGGGGAAAAGAGGTCAAACTCGGGGGGTCAGCAAGGGGTGCCCCCTGGGAGAAACCAGCCACCAGATGACTCAAAAATAAACTCTCCTGGCCCAGGGTCCGGCCCAGACAGCACCATGTGCCTGCTCAGGCCCTTGCTGGTCCTCTTGCTCGGTAAGAACCACGGCCTCCGCTGGGACCTGGGCTCTGGGGTGGCAGTGGGAGCTGGGGCAGACAAGAGCAAATGTGGGGGGCGGGCAGGCGGGATATGTATGTGTGTGTATACATCTCTCTTTGTGTCTTTTCCTCTCTCCCTCTATCCTCAGAGGGGATGTTTTGTTCCTTTGAAAGCGCCCTGTGTCCCTCAATAATGCTTTCTGATCACTGTGGTGGGTTCCAGAATACTTGGCTTTTTCTGACGCAAGCGCAAGCTTCTGGAAGGTCGAGTCCCCGCCCATCCTCTACGCCTGGGAGGGGGCCTGCGTCCAGATTCCCTGCAGCTACTCAATCCCTGGGAGTGGAAAGTCGCTGACACAGCTGATCGTGTATCAAAATTATTCGTATGATAAAACCCAGAGGGAGTTCCGGGGGTCCATCCTCTATAATAGCACCGTCCTCCCTGGGAGCACAGAGCTTTCTCCTCACTCCGGGAAGGTGAGATTTCTGGGCAACACCAGAAACGACTGCACCCTCCTCATCAACTCCGTGAAGGCCCAGGACACCAGTAACCTGGGGCTGAGGATGTTAACGGAAGGGGACATGTGGATGCATCACCTGCACCTCAACATCTCCGGTGAGGCCCTGGGGAGGGCGTCTCCGCCACAGGCACAGGCAAGGAGGGAGCTGGAAGGTTCCCTCTAGCTGACCTGTAGCCTGCAGGGACGAGGCTGGAGTTGGGGAGTGGGTCAGGGGGCGGCGAGTGACTCGGGCACATGAGACAGTGGGGCTTTGCAAAGCAGAGCAGGAGCTCTTGTTCCTCCTCAAGCCTCCCCCTGCCACGCAGCTCCTGCCCCCTCTAGAATCTGGGACCTGGGTGGCCTGATTGTTTGAAGAGAAGGTAGAAATCTGGATTGTTCAATGGAATCTCCCAATATGTTAATGTTGGTGATTCATTCCAGTGAGCCCTCCCAGGCCAGGGGGTGCCATGCAGGAAGTCCCAGGCAGAGGTCTGAGGCCTGCGCCCAGGCTGGGAGGCAGCACTGCTCCATGGCCTCTGCCCCTTTCCTCGCTGGGTCATTCTGTGCAGCATTATGTTTGGGGAAAGAGCTGCAACTTCAGACACTAGTCTGAGGGGGCCGAGCCCCAGAGGTGGGTCAGCAAGGGGTGCCCTCTGGGAGAAACCAGCCACCAGGGAACTCGAAAGAAACTCTCCCGGCCCAGGCTTCCCTACTAAAGGAATCCCCTAAATGATTTCTTTTTGTCCCCACTGTGGAGGTCATCAACAAATGCAGGGTTGGCATTGATGCTAAGAAACGCATGTTGAACTCCACTGGTGAAAGTCTCCCAGGGGTAGGGAGCGAGAGCTAGAAAACAAACATCTGGGAGAGAGAAAGGAATAAGCACAACCGGGAAGGAGGCCCAGCATTCACGGGAACTCCTAGGGTGTCCTGGCCCGGCAGAAGGGGCTACAGCAGAGAGGAGAGGCTGCAGAGAGTTGGGGTCACTGGTTGGGGCTCCTGAGGGTGATTGGATGGAGGCGGGGGTGAAGTCAGGGGTCAGGGGCTGGCGTACAGCGGCCCTGGGCCTCCTAGGCCTCCAACAGGCCCCTACTCTTTTGCAGAAAGAGCTCCCCCACCTCATATCCAGCTCCCTCCAGAAATCCAGGAGCTCCAGGAAGTCACTCTGATCTGTTCACTGAATTTTGCCTGTTCTGAGTACCCGATCCAACTGCAGTGGTCCCTGAAGGAGAGTGGGGGCACCTCGACTTTCCTGAGCACCAACACAGTGTCCAGCCAGAGCAAGCTCACGTTCACGGCTCTGTGGAGTCACCACGGCAGCAACCTGACCTGCAGCCTCCGGGACCAGGCGCAGCAGCTGCTGTCGGAGAAAATGGTGCAGCTGAACGTGAAGCGTGAGTCTCCCAGCACCTGCGCCTGCGTCCTCAGTGACACAGGAGGACATGTCGTCCGTGGGCCCCCACAGCACCCCCCAGGGGTGGCCCCGCACAGCCACCCCCCGCCTCCTCCAGCCTGTGGTTAGCTGGGTATTTCAGGAAACATGCGCTTTAGCGGCTGCTTTGCTCTAACAGAATGAAGTAATCCCATCTACCCTCCAGCCCCAGCTTGACCGAGGGGGCAGGGGCATCTGGTCCGGGTTTCTCGTTGTTTCCCCAGGGAAGGGTGATGAGAACTTATTTCTGCATCATTTTTTGCGCCTCATTCATTCACTGGATCAAGGCTGAGGAGGCACTTGCTCCGTGCCGGGGCTAATTAGGGCGGCGGGGACCGAGGAGGGAGTAACGTTCTGGGCCTTTCTGGCCAAGCGCGGTCTTGGAGGCACAATTAAGTAGAACAACCAGGAAACAGAAGGGCACTGACGCAGCGAGCAGGAAGTGTGTTACGGGAAGGCCTCCCAGGGAGGGAGACGTCTCTGAGGAGGATGAACTTGAACTGAGAGAAGGGAGGGACAGAGGGGTGCAGATATTTTCGGGAAGATTCCTGGGACTGGGTCAGGAAGGAGAAGGATAAAGGCCTGAGGCAGGAAGCTGGTGTCTCTGCTACAAGCCAAGGGCCAGAGCTGCCGGAGGCACCGCCTGGAGGGGCTGGTGGTAGGAAAGGAAGCCGCTGGGGACAGCGGAGCAGGCCTGGATTCTTTTTCCAAGTGTGGAATCCCCTGAATGGTGTCAAGCAGGGCAGTCAGGGTCTGCTCCACCGTGTTAGGGATCGAGGCCCAACCGGCAGAGGCCCAGGGTAGGGAGCGGGAGGCCATTTCAGCGGCTGTGATAGCTGCCTGGGCTCTGGGGCCAGGCCGGCCTTGTTGACCAGGTGACAGTGAGTCCATTGCACGCTCACCCAGTAGCCGCTGCTTGAGCAGAACAAAGGCCCCAAGTCCTAGCCAATTTACACCCTCTGTCTCCTCCCTCCTGCCCCTCTGTTCCTCCAGACAAACCAAAGCTGAAGATCGAGGTCAGTCCCCAAGATGCCATTGTGACCGAGGGGCAGTCGGTGACCATGACGTGTGAGGTCATCAGCAGCAACCCAAAGCACCACACCCTATCCTGGTTCAAGAATGGGGAGTCACTGGGGAAGCAGGGGTTCACCCTCACGCTGTCCACAGCAACCAGGGACATGAGTGGGAAGTACCAGTGCGAGGCCATAAATGATTTAGGCCCAGGAAGGTCGGAGGAAGTGGACCTGCAGGTGCACTGTGAGCCTCCTGGGAGCTGGGAGGGGCGGCTGGGGAGTTAATGGGGTGCAGTGAAGGCCCTCCTCACCTCCCCACCCCTGCCCCTTCTTCCAGATGCTCCAGAACCTTCCAAGGTTGAAATCCAACCCTCAGCACCTAAGGAGGGAAATGCAGTCATTCTGAATTGTCAATCACAGGCCAACCCTCCTCCAACAAATTACACCTGGTATCACAATGGTCTTGAAATGTCGGGGGTGGCCGACACCTTCCAGATCCCAAGCGTCGGCCTCAGGCACGCTGGGAAGTATTCCTGCTTGGCAGAAAATAGTCTTGGTCGTGGACAAGTTGGCCAGGAAGCTGAGCTGGATGTCCAATGTGAGCAGTTGCAGAGACTCTGGGTCCTGGCGGGAGAAGACAGAAGTGGCAGGAGGAGGAGGAGGCAGCCGGTCCCGGGGTCCCCGAAGGAAAGCAGCAGAAGCTGGGTCCCCTGACATCAGCTTTGCGGGAGGGTCTGGATGACAGTTGCATTCGAAACTCCAGAACAGGGCCTGGGTCCTGGCAGGGTGCTCCAACTGATGTTTGTTGAGTGACTGAAGTGCAAGGTGACAGCGTCCCCCGAGGACACTAAGACTTGGTGTCCCGAGCCAGTGGCTTAGTCCCAGATGGGGTCCTGAGGTTTTCCAGAAGAACCAGGGCAGGGGGTGTCAGACGCCCTCCATCGCCAGCTGCTTAACACAGTCAATCTTGTCACTGAGCTGAGCTCCACGCAGAGACTAGAGCCCTGGCTGCTGGAGCGTCACAGGCTGGGCCATGGGGGGCGGCTAGTCCTGACCGTGTGAACAGCCATATGTGAGAGCAGGAGCAGGAGCGCTTGCTGCCGAGGGGTGACTGCGCCTTGCACCCCATTCTAAGGGCATCATTTCATTTCATCCTCAATTCCCCGAGGCTCCGTGCTCTAAGACCCCCTCTTGACGATGAGCAAACTGAGGCCTCCTGCCCACGGCCACGCAGCTCTCAGCAGCAGGGCCGGGCAGTCTGGCTCCGGAGCTGTTTTGTTCCAATTTCCACTTACTGTGGCAACAGGGCACGGCGGCCCTCTGGGAGACAGCGTGCTGTGCTCTGCGTGGGGACCAGGGCTGGTCCTGACTGTGCCATCTTGCCTCAACCCACAGCCAGACCGAAGGCCAGAGCAGGGTTTCTGTGCCCATGCAGAGGCAAGGGAGGCTCGAGCCTGCCTCTGGTTCACTGAGGGCCGGCATGAATGCGGGGGTGCCAGGGAGCAGGAGGAAGCAGGAAGGAAAAGGTCTTATCTCTCTTTCTTCCAGATCCGCCCAAGTTGGTAACTCTGATGATTAAAGACCCCGCACAGATTCGAGAAGGAGACAACGTGACCCTCTCCTGTCACTACAACTCCAGCAACCCCGGAGTTAACCAGTATCAGTGGAAACTCGGGGCTTCCCAGAGGGAATCCCACTCTCAGGTGCTGACAATCCAGAGAGTTGCCTGGAATGAGGGGCCAGTCACCTGTGCTGCCTGCAACCAGTGGTGCTCGTGGGCAGGTCTCGTCAACCTGGATGTCCAGCGTGAGTGACCTGCAGGGGCTCTGGGGGACGCCCAGTGGGTGTGTGGGTCTCCAAGGGTGAGGACCCTGGGGTCTGCACCAGGGTCTTCAGGGGAATTAGGGGAGAGAGGCCCAGATGCAGTCCTGGGGACAGAGAGAGGGTCAGGGACAGAGAGAGGGTCAGGGACCCGAGAGGTCAGCCAGAGGCCCTTGCTCTCCAGATGCCCCCAGAGATGTCTCCATTAAGAGCAACTCCAGTTCTGAGGTTCGCTCCGGGCAGCCGGTCTTCCTGAGCTGTGACTTCTCAAGTAGCCGCCCCACAGACGTCCACTTCTTCTGGAAGAAAAACGGGATCCTTCTGAAGAAAGAAAAACAACTGCGCTTCAACTCCATCACTCCAGAAGATGCTGGAAGTTACCACTGCCTGGTCAACAATTCCATAGGACAGACCCTGTCCGAGGCCTGGGAGCTCCGAGTGCTGTGTGAGAGGCTGCCCCGGGGCTGGAGCGGGCGGGCCACGGCGACCCCGGGCCTGACCTCGCCTCTCCTTCCAGATGCACCCCGGAGGCTACGTGTGTCCATCAGCCCACAGGATGGGGTGGTCGAGGGGAAGGAGGCCATCCTGACGTGTGAGAGCGATGCCAACCCGCCCGTCTCCCATTATGACTGGTTTCACTGGAACGACCACAAACCCCAGCAGTCTAAGCAGATGCTGAGACTGGACTCTGCCAGCATCCAGGACGCGGGGGCCTACTGGTGCCAGGGGGTCAACTGGCTGGGCAAGGGCCAGTCACCCCCCAGCATCCTGACTGTCTACTGTAAGAACCTTCCCTCTCCTTCTCTGGCCCAGCCACTGCTGTAGCCCCCACTTCCGGGAGACCCGCCTCTTGTCCTAGAGGCCGCTGCATCCGTACCCGGATGTTGCAAAGCTGAGCCACCCCAGCGGCACCCTCAAGCCAGGCTGTGCGCTCCAGATCACCTCACCCCTCCCGGGCCTAAGCTTCCCCTCCGTCCTGCCGGGCAGCCTGCCCCTGCCCTGCACCCAGCTGCCCTCCGTCGAGCTCAGCCTCTCCTGACTCTCTCTAAGAGAGTTCCCTCTTCCAGGCATCCCGAGCTCTGTGGGTGTCTCTCTCTCTCTCATTTTTTTTTTTTTAAAGATTTATACAGAGCTGGGGTGTAGACCAGAGGTGGTGGTGGGGAGAGGAATCACCAGAGACAGAGTGGGGTGCAGAACAGGCGGATCGACTGAAATACACTGCTGAGGGGAGCAGCAGGGAGACAGGAGAGGTCTGCTGCACCACATGGGTCAGCTCCCTGGCCGGGGATCGAACTCACGCCACAGGCGGTGACTGCAGTTAGCTTCATAGTGCTGATGCTTAACCCCTGCGCCACCAGGGAGGCCCTGTCTCACCTCCATGGTTTTTAAGAAACACAAAGCAAGTATATGGCAAGAGATTAAAACAGCAGGACAGACACCATTCTCTTCTTGATCCCTGAGAATTCTACCCCACCCCTGCCTCGAGGCCTTTGCTGCTGGAGGCTGGTTGTGTCACCTCACAGACTCACCGGCGTGGGCACAGCAGGAACGCAGCCTGTGCACCCTTCTTTGCTGCTCACTGTGGGCGGGCTCGCACCTTGCCTGAGCCTGCTCTTCCTCCCGTGTAGTTACCGCCCTCGGAGGCTGGGCCATGAGCTTGCACACGCAGGTGTCTGAAGACTGGAAACATCGGGAGGTGTTTCATTTACTTATTGTACTTTTTCCGATGAAGGCTTGGAGTCCTGGCTTTAAATGGAGAGGGTCGTCTCTTGCAGAGCCGCATGCTAGAGGGAGCAGCCTGGACGTGCTACTGGAGCTAGCGCATGATGCACATGAGCTTTTGCAGTCTCCTGGGAGATCCGCTTCTCATCCTAGGGGCCGCTGCATCCATTCCCGGATGCTGCAAAGCTGAGGCACCCCAGTGGCACCCTCAAGCCACGCCATCTCTTGCTGTGGGTGCACTTGCAAGATCAGCCGCAGGAGAAACTCCTACTGGGAATAGTGGGGTTGGGGGACACATGGCTTAAGCTCTGGTACTAGAGCCGAGCTGCCCTCAAAGAGGGCGTCCATTTGTGGGGGTTATGTTCTCTGGATTTGCCCATGTTGGTCTCAAAGCAAGAGGCCCAGGTGAGGAGTTTGCCGTCTCCTCTGAGGGAAGGCCCAGAGGCTGGAGCCGGCTGCTCGGTTTTTTGTTTTTTTTTTTAATCACATGCCCATGTGGAGTCTCCAGGCAGGACAGGCCAGTGCAGAGTGTGTCAGATGCCTGCCAGGCGATGACCACAGACCAGCGCGGGGTTATCTGATGGAGCCTGTGCCATCAGCTGACAGTCACCCCTTTCTCCATCAGATAGCCCAGAGACCATCGGGAAGCGCACGATCATGGGAGTGGGGCTCTGCCTGGTAGTGGCCATCCTGGTGATGTGGGGTGTGAAGCTGCAGAGAAGGTGAGCTTGCTCTGCCCCTCCCTCCCCTCCGATTCTGGGGAGTAGCCCTGTAGGCCCTTGGGCCCAGCCCACAGGGTCCTGTTTCCAGCCCTTGATCCCCACTGAGTGGGTCTTCATTTCTTAGGTGCAAGAGGATTCAGAGCCAGCAGGGGCTTCAGGAAAACTCCAGCGGGCAGAGCTTCTTTGTGAGGAATCAGAAGGTAGGATGGAAGGAAGATGGGATGCGGGGCAGCCCTTGAGTTAAGCAGAGGAACAGAGAGGAACCTGGGGCGTCAGACCCAGTGGGACCTGGGTGGAGACCCAGCAGGCCCTGGAGCACAGACCCAGCAGGACCTGGGGTGCAGACCCAGGGGGACTTGGGGTGTCAGACCCAGGGGAGAGGCACCCATGTGGGGGAGGACTGGTGAAGACAGGAGCCTTGTCTCTCTCCCAGGTTAGAAGGACCCCCTGTGATGAAGGCCGCCATTCTCTGGGCTGCTACAACCCGGTGATGGAAGACGCCATCAGCTATGCTATGCTGCGCTTTCCCGACACGCAGAGGACTGGGTACAGAGGGTGCCGGGAGGGTGACGCCCACACCCTGGGAAGGCTGTGGGAGGAAGAGCTGGTGTCCTGCACCCACCCCCTGTGCCAGGCCCCGCCATCACCCATTCCCTGCCCCAGCTCTCTAACAAGCCCCGGGGTGAGGAATGGCATCCGGCTTGGGCCTGTCCCGCAAGCCGGCAGCAGGCGCGCCCAGGGCCCATGTCCATCGCCAAGGCAAAGACGTGGATTATACATCCATTCACTTACCTGACACCTTAGCTCCTACTGTCCATCAGCCATAATCCATGGGGGGCAGAGAGGCTGGGGTGCTCGTGGGATGCAGGTGAGTCCGGACAAAGGAGAGTTCCCGCCAAGCACTTCGTGGGTGATCATCTGTCTGCTCTCCCTGTCAGAAATACAGGGGCCTCAGAGTCGCAGGGACCCTCCCCAGCCTGGGAGGACACGGTCACCTACTCCGTGGTGCAGAGGCATCCAGTGGCTAAAGCACAGGTAAGGAGGGAGGCCAGCCTCGGCCGTGAGACCATGTGGGAAAGACAGGGACACTGAGTGGTGGCACAGGCAGGGTAGTGGGAAGGGTGCACAGGCACTGTGTAGGCAGAGGCAGTGCAGGCACCGTCCCATCTGAGAGGTGACTGCCGCCAGTTTCTGGCCAGGAAGATGTTTGCTCGGGCTCTTGGGCCCCAGATGGATCCCACTTGGGCAAGAAAACAGATGTTGGGGGCTGGTGACCATGAGGCCAAGCTGACCATGGTGACTCTCTCAGGGCGACTATGAGAACGTGACTCCAGATACTCCAGAAGAGGAGGGGATCCATTACTCAGAACTGATTCATTTTGGCACCGGGGAGCGGTCTCCGGCGCTGGAGAGCGTGGAATACGTGACCCTCAAGCACTGATGATACAAACCTGCTGAACTGGAGGTGCCCAGGGCGGAGGGACCAAGCAGTCCTGGAGCTTTCCCAGCCCCTGCTGCTCAGCCACTGTTTTGCAGTCCCCCCGACATGTGCGCCCAGTTATCACAGCCCCATCCACACAGAGCACTTCGGGGCCAGCCCAGAGATAGGCTTCCTTCTCAGCACCGGTGACCCCGATGTCCAGAAGGCCCCTCCCTTGTCATTTTCCACTCTCCTCCCACCCAGAAACTCTAAGCACCTGCCCTGCGTTGTACAGCAACTCCAGCCACCTGCTGCAGCCCACCGCTGCCAGCCCTACCCCCAGCTGGCCAAGTCCTCCTGGGATTGACTTGTGGCTTTTCCCCCTTCCCACCGACCCCCTTACTGACTGCTCTGATACCCCACTCACTACTCGTTTGCCCAGTCTCTGCCTCTGCGGCCAAGCCCAGGGAAAGGAACAGAAATGAGGCAGGAAGACGCACTGTCGGCGCTGGCTTCTCTGTGTGCCAGCGAGGCACCCCCAGGAAGGCTTCCCCAGAGGAAGGGGAAGCTACTGCAGCCCCGCAGCCATTGGGGTCCTGTGGTCTGAGGGTGCAGGCCAGCAGGTGACAAACAGAGAGCTGTACAATAAAGGTGGTTCAGGCACCACTGCAAAGAACCAGCGAGGCATTTCCAGTCTGTGGCATCAGAGTGGGGACAGGGAGCTGGAGTAGGTGCTGGGGCCTTGGGGGGAAAGCCAGGTAACTTCCTCACCAAATCCAGGGGCGCCTGGCCTGGTGGCGGGGTGCAAGGACCCTGAGCTGACAAGCAGGAGTCTGAGTCTTGAACGTCCACTCAACTGGAGACTCAGCAGTGATGTTGAGGAAAGCTCAGCAGCCTGTCTGGGTTTCAACCGCTTTATCCTCAATGGAGACGCCACCACCAACTGCGCAGGTGGCTCCGGATAGGAAGTGGGCTTGAATTTATGTCTGCTGGGGTCACCCTATAAGAAGGCTGACTCTATAGCCGAAAGTCCCTAAAAACCAAATCCCCATCTGCTTTGCATCTCTTGAAGTATGTAAAAAGGGGAAGCCAAGGACAGTGATTTGCAAAAGTGACCCTGCCAAGTTCTTTCATAATCCGCAGCTGCCTGGCAGTTTCTCGAAGGCTGGCTGCCCGGAGAAACCTCACAGCTTTTCTGTCTTCCTATCGCCCCTCCAGCCAGTCCTGGGTGTGATCGCTGACGGCACCTGCCCGTTCGCTCCTCCCTCCTCCCCTCCCCTGCTCAGGCTTCATCTCTGTCCACCTGTCCACCTGCCCAGGCCCACACCCCAAGGGGCAGGAGCATGTTGGCCCCTCAATCAGCAAGAAGATGCTGAGAGAAGATGACTTCTGGTGGGTTTTGTAATTAGGGGAGTTCCCGTGAATCTATGTCCTCCCCAGCAATTTCTTGGGGAGGAAGGAGGGACTCAGAAAACTGTTTACGTGACAGTGGCAAGGGTTGGGGGCTTTTGTGTTGAAAGTGAGGCCTGGTCCTGGGCAGCCGTTCACCCAGTTATCCAGCACCCGCCGAAGCACCCAGCACAGAACCGGTTGTTGAGGTAGGATAAGGATAAGGCAGAATTTGAATTTTGGGGCTCTCTAGTCTAGTCGCAGTAGAGATCTGGAGAACCTTGTCTCCCGCCATATCCAGCTCAGCTCTTCTCCCAGACTCTTGCTGTGAGAGGTAAAATGCACCCCTTTGGATTTTCCTCCTGGTTCTGTCCATTTCTGTGACTCCCAAAGACCAAGGGCTGTAGGGCAGGTTCCCCTTGAGCAGGCTGAAGGCACCCCAGGATCCCTGGGCCCTGGCGCAGGCTCCCTGGCAACGCGGGTCTCCTCCCTTCCTGTCCTCGGCCCAGCTGCCAACATAAACCCACTTCAGGATCAATTGACCGAGAGACGAGATGCCACTGTCAACAGCCACCGCTGAGGCGTGCACAGCAGGTGCTGGGGAGCCCTGAGGTGGGGGCTGCGGGATGCAGGCAGCCTCCCCTTTGCCCCAGACCTCATGGTCCACTGGTCCGTCGGGGCGGGTGACTCAACTCACGAGACCCCTGTGGGGCGCAGGACAGCAGTGGACAAAGCAGACAGAAATCCTCCCCCCGTTAACTAACGTTCCAGAAATGTTCTAGCAACGCTACTGACACAGACCGGGGGGCCTGTTTGTGAGCAGGCATGGAGGGGGTGCCGCTGAGGAGCTGTCGCTGCCTGGGGGCCTGAACCACAGGCCAGGCCACAGCAGAGATCTGGTGACCCTTGTCTCCCGCCCCGCCTGGCTCTGCTCATCTCCCAGACTCTTGCTGTGGATTTTTCTCCTGGTTCTGTCAGGTTCTGTGATTCCCAAAGAGCGCATACTAGTCACAAACAACAGGTGGAAAATTCTGCTTTCCAAGGGCTCCTGGACCACTGATGTGGGCCGGGGAAGGGAAGCCAATGAGAATCTACTCAGTGACTGAGGTGGAAAAAAGGGGTCATTGATAGGCTGTGGGTCCCCTGTGGCTCCTGCTGAGCCCCGTGAGGAACACCTCCAAGGAAGGTGCTTAGAGGTGGGGAAGCCCCTGTCTCCCGCGAGCACCCCCACAGGAGCTGGCTCTGGGTGGCTTGGATTTAGTGACGGGCGTAAAGGCCTGGCGGCCCCAAGAAAACTAAAGACACTGTGATAAGTGAGGTCGACCTGGGAGTCACAGGCCCAGAGACAGATTCACAGAGCCAGCCCGGGCCATCTGATCCCACTTTCAGTATCCCCCTGGAGGCCCAGCCCCTGCCCCGGGAGGCTGCCTCTGAGGCCCTGTTCTCTCTGCCCTGCCTCTGCCTGGCCCTCCTCATCTCTGCCTGGAATGATAAGGTGACCCAGACAGGGAGGTAAATGACAGACTCCCCAGAGGCTGAGGAGGAAGCTGAATGGCCAGCGAGGGGCACCTGCCATTTTCACCTCAGTGAGTCCCAGGGCCGTGCTCCCTGGATATCCATGCAGCCCAGAGAGAGGCCGGTGGAGACCACAGGCCAGGCCACCAATGCACTTCACCCCTGTCTCTCCTCTCCCTCCTGCCAGAGGGAGAGAAACCACCCCCCTCAAGCTGGAGAAGGGAAGACGGAGCTACCTCCTCACAAAATAAGCCCACCTTTGGGGGATGGCAGAAGCTGTACCCTGGAATGATTATTTCATGATTGCCACTGGTGACAGTGTGAGGATGAAAGCACTGGGTACATTCTGTGGTCTAGAAGGGAGCCAGGGAGGCCAGGCCTGCCCACAAGCTTGTCCATCTGGGAATAGGGAGCCTCCAGGGGAGGTCTGAGCAGGTGTGTGTGTGTGTGTGTGTGTGTGTGTGTGTAGGGGTGTTAAAGTTGTGTTCTGCTTGTACCCACCAACCCAGCCCCCTCAAGGTGCTGGTTACACACGTCTCACTCCTGAAGACAACCACTGCTCTCTCTCCCCTTCCCCGGGTACCATCACCTCTGTGGACCCTCACCTCCAGGCGGGCCTCAGCTTCCAGCCGGAGATGCCCGATTAGCTGCTCACCCATGCTGCTAGGGCCTCAGGCTAATGGCTCTGCCACCCCGCCCTGCTCTCCCTTCCAGCTCACTGCCCATGCCAGCACCCGCCCACAGCCCAGCCAGGGGACTCCTGGCAGAGACATCTGGCAGCACCAGGAGGTGAGTCCTCTTTCTGTGGCTCCTCTCTCCACCAGCAACCACTCCCTAGGCCCCGACACTCTCCGTATTGGCTGTGGGACCCGTGTCACTGATGGTCACTGCTTGCCCTGGGTCTCCCCTGGGGATATCCTTTCCCTATCCTTTGCCACAAGCTCCACCTTACCCAAAGCCCACATATCTTCCCCTGAGCTAGGAGTTGCCACACACCCTCCCATTACCTATTGGGCAGCCCCTTCTCTTTCGGGAGGAATTGCGGGTGGGGGAACCAGTGTACCTTCCATTCCAAGGACAACACCTGCCATTCTGAATCCTCTTTCCCCTTCTCTCCCCAGAGTCTCAGCAGTCACGAGGCCTTCCCTCCCGTGGGACCTGCGTGCCTTCCTTCCAGTCTCGACTGTTGCCCCCAAGTGCTTTCCTCATTTTAAGGGGGGCTGTGGTGGAAAGCAGGCAGACGGGGAGGGCTAGCGGTGCTGGCTTCTGATCCAGACTCCACGGCTAGCTGGCAGACCCTCCATCTCATCCCCTGGACTAGCTCCCTAGATGGCTTCTGACTCCCAAGCACTGCTCAAGCCAGTTGGGATTCCAGGGGTCCCCCCACCCCCAGGGTCAGAGATCTGAGGGCCTGGAGTGGAGCAGGAGTCCTGGAGGCCGCAGGCCCCATGGACCTGCCCCCGCAGCTCTGCTTCGCCCTCTATGTGGCAGCCTTTGCGCTGGGCTTTCCGCTCAACGCCCTGGCCATCCGGGGGGCTGTGACCCATGCCCGGCTCCGCCTCACCCCCAGCCTGGTCTACGCCCTCCACCTGGGCTGCTCCGACCTGCTGCTGGCAACTTCTCTGCCCTTGAAGGCGGTGGAGGCCCTGGCCGAGGGATCCTGGCCCCTGCCGGCCGAGCTCTGCCCGGCCTTTGCCCTGGTCCACTTCGCCCCACTCTACGCGGGCGGGGGCTTCCTGGCTGCCCTGAGCGCCGGCCGCTACCTGGGCGCTGCCTTCCCTTTGGGCTACCAAGCCATCCGGAGGCCCTGCTATTCCTGGGGTATATGTGTGGCCATTTGGGCCTTTGTTCTCTGTCACCTGGGGCTGGTCTTTGGGCTGAGGGTTCCGGGAGGCCAGGAGGACAATACCACCAACTCCCTGGGCATCAACACAGCTGTCAACGGCTCTCTGGTGTGCCTGGAGGCCTGGGACCCAGCCTCAGCCGGCCCTGCCCGCCTCGGCCTCTCCCTCCTGCTCTACTTTTTGCCCCTGGCTGTCACGGCCTTCTGCTACGTGGGCTGCCTCAGGGCGCTGGCCGCCTCGGGCCTGAGCCACAGACGGAAGCTCAGGGCGGCCTGGGTGGCCGGGGGCGCTCTGCTCACGCAGCTGCTCTGCTTAGGGCCCTACCACGCCTCCAATGTGGCTGGCTTTCTGCACCCCAACATGGGAAGCTGCTGGCGGAAGCTGGGGCTCATCACCGGTGCCTGGAGCGTGGTGCTCAACCCCTTGGTGACCGGCTACTTGGGCGGGGGCACCAGTCAGGGGACAGTGTGTGTGGCAAGAACAAAAGGGGGGACATCCCAGAAGTAGCAGCTACTGCTGGGGGCAAGAGGCAGGAGGCTGCTTTTCCAGGCCCCCCAATGGGAGGCTGCACCAAAAGAACTACAGGGGGGCCTTGCCCGGAGCCACAAGGGGGAAGAGCTGAGCCTGGCAGAAGACAGCAGTCCAGAGGCGGGGAGAATGGAGACCTGGAAAGTAGGTCGCAGCAGGAAGGTAAGCTTGCCTCTCACACCCGCGGGACTCATTTCTGCCATCTCGCTCCTCATGTGCGCTTATCTGCCTTTTACCAGGGGGGAAGACACAGAGGAAGGAATCTGCTTTTTTCATTTTTAAGAAGTGGGGCACCAGCCAGAATTGCAGGGGTTGTGTGGGTGGGGGGGCTGAGAAGAATCACCAGACACAGAGTGGGGAGCAGAACAAGCAGATGCACCGAACACACTGCTGAGGGGAGCGGTGGGCGAGACAGGAGAGGTCTGCGGCGCCATTTGGGTAGCTCCCCAGCCGGCCGGGGGATCAAACTCGCGCCATAAAGGCCTCACAGCGCTGAGCTCAACCCGCTGCACCACCAGGGAGGCCCAGGAATCTGCTTCTAAACTAGAGGGAGGGCCACCCTGGTGAGGGATCCACACTGGGAAGTGCTACTCCAAAACCACTTCCTAGGGAAGAATATTTTAATTTCTGAAGACAGGAGGCAGGAAGGAGGGTCAGGACACCGTGCTGCCACTTGGGGGCGCCATGGGAACGTGAACGGAAGTTAGAAGGCAAAGATGCCTGAGCAGGAGGGAAAATACTGGTCAACACCAAAAACAGCCACCCACAAAGAAAATCTCAGTTATGTGACAGGCACCCTGCCAAGCACCACAAGGCGTCTCATTTCATCTCACACGATCCCTGCCTTACCCGTGTGGCGGCTGGACACACGGGCAGGTTGTGCACTGTGCAAGGTGCTGGGACCAGCCCTGTTAGTGCTCTAGCCTGTGCCCTGCTCACTGAGTGAGCCATGTGCCCAGCCTTAGTTCTTCATGGGTTCTTCAATCAGGCTGAGGAACATGTTATTCTGATTTGCACAAAGACACTCTCTACTCCTCAAGCTGTGCTCCAGGGCTGCCACCTGGAGGGGGCACCGTTGGATTTAAGAACGTATTGCACATAAGATGTACATTTCATAAAATTCACCCATTTTAAGTACACATGTCAAGGATTTTTAGTATATTTTGGGGCAGGCAGTTACCTCTGCATCCTCTCCAGAGCACTCTGTTACCGCCAGTAGATTCCTTCATGCTTATTTACGACTCATCACTCATCCCGGCTCCCTGCCCTGTCCCAGGCAATCAGTGGTCTACTTTCTCTCTATATAAATCTGCCTCTTCTAGACATTTTGTATCAAAGAAACGGAATACAGGATGTTTTTAGGGCTGGCTTGTTTGAGTCAGCATTAAGTTTTGGAGGCTCACCCATGTCACAGAGTGCTTGGGTAAGTGCCTTTAAGGTGCCAGAGTTCCCACTAAAGGACACCGCACATGGCCTGTCCATTCACTAGCTGATGGTCACGGGCCCGTGGACTCTTGGTGGTCACAGTGAACACTGATATGACCACTTATGTGTGAGTCTTCCTGTGAACATGCTTTCGGTTCTCTTAAGTACATACCCATTGTGCTCTGGCTCCCACAGTAAATTTATGTTAAACTTTTTAAAAAAGATTTATTTTTGCATTGAAGAACTGGGGTGTAGGCCAGAGGTGTGGGGGTGAGAGGATTCACCAGAGACAGAGTGGGAAACAGAACAGGCAGACTGACTGAAATACACTGCTGAGGGGAGCAGTGGGCAAAACAGGAGAGGTCTGCTGTGCCATGTGGGTAGCTCCCTGGCCGGGGATCGCACTTAGGCCTCTGAGGTGATAGCGCTGAGACTCAACCCCTAGTTCCGCCAGGGAGGCCCTATGTTGACCTTTTAAGAAACTGCCAAACTGCTCTCCAAAGTGGCTGCAGTGCATGAGACTTCCCATTGCTCCATCTTCCCACGAGCTCGGTGTTTGATGGTGTTGCTCATGGCCATTCCAGTGGATATAAGATGCTACTGCCTTGTGTCCTGCAAATATTTGGGTTAATAAATAATCTCACAAGCAGGACAAAACTTGGGTCTGAGCCCGGGGTGTGAAACTGACCAAACTATCCCCCAGAGCTGTCACTTCCCCACTGAGAGGCTCAAGGACACAGGATTTCAAGGCCTGGTGGTGACTAGGAGAGGCAGAGTGTTCGCTATGGGTCTTGTGTCCACTATAAAGTAGCTGCTATCACTGTCCCATCTCCCAGAGGCCAACCCTCACCAGTGATCGGCTCGATGGCGGCTAACATGTTAAGGACCCCCAAGGCAGCGTCAGGCTCATTAGCAGCCTTGACATGTAGTTGTGCTTTTATCCACACAATAAAAGCCTACGTCACAGGTGTTATGATTGTCCCTGTTGTACAGATAAGAAAGCAGAGGTACAGGGAGACTGAGTCACTTGCTCCAAATCACCCGGTCAGTACGGGACATGACATGGCCAGCATCCAACCCAGGCCTCTGACCCCTGAGCCCACAGTCTCCATCACTGCATCAAGCTTTGTCCCTCACAAGGCCCAGTTGAGGAGGCCATCCTAGAGGAGCAGGAGGAATTCAAGTAGAGGGTGAGGGAGAGAGAGAGAAGCCAGCTAGGCCAGACTGGAGCCTTCCCTGGAGGCTGCCTGAGGAGCAAGGCCCGCCATGGGGAAATTTCCTGCTCATTTTGCATATTGGCGTGGCCACGACCAGAGCTAAATACTTCTTTTGTGCTGCTGCAGAAGGATGAGTGATGTCATGGGCCGTCAGGTCTTTGTCAGTTAAGTTGATAAGCCACCCACAGTTGGGCCGGGGGAGCCGGGAGGTGCTGAGCAGCAGAGCACCTGGGCTTTCCATTTGGCAGGTGAGCATGGCACCCCACAGGGTGGTGTGGAGGGTACCTTGGGGCGCTTGCTTTCTTGGGGAGGGTACTTGACACCCAAGCTGGCGTCTGCCTGGGGAAAGCCAGGGGCGGGATGAGGGGGTGAGAGAGTGGGGTTGTGGTCGTGTTTCCTATTGACAGTGGAGATGCTGTGGCTTGGTGGGCTTGAGACCCCACCTCACGTACCGTCTCTCTCTCTCTCCAGTGGCCGTCACCATGGACACAGAGCTGGACAGGCTCTCCTCTGGCAGTCACTGGCTCAACTTCTCCGTGTACCTGTTCATCTTCCTGGTGGGGCTGCCCCTCAACCTGCTGTCCCTGATGGTTTTCGTGGGCAAGCTGCGGCGCCGCCCGGTGGCTGTGGACGTTCTCCTGCTCAACCTGACCATCTCGGACCTGCTCCTGCTGCTCTTTCTGCCCTTCCGCATGGTGGAGGCAGCCAGTGGTATGTTCTGGCTTCTGCCCTTCATCTTCTGCCCTTTATCTGGCTTCCTGTTCTTCACCACCATCTATCTCACTTCCCTCTTCCTGGCCGCTGTGAGCGTGGAGCGCTTCCTGAGCGTGGCCTACCCACTATGGTACAAGACCCGGCCCCGGCCTGGACAGGCCAGCCTGGTCAGCATGGCCTGCTGGCTCCTGGCAGGCGCCCACTGCAGCATCGTCTACATCACCGAGTACTCGGGGAACTACTCCCAGACTGTCAATATGACCTGCTACCAGGAGTTCCAGCAGGAGCAGCTGGACATTCTCCTCCCTGTCCGGCTGGAGATGGCGGTGGTCCTTTTTGGGATACCCCTGCTCATCACCATCTACTGCTACAGCCGCCTGGTGCGCGCCCTCAGCCGGGGAGCCAGCCAGCACCGGCAGAAGAGGGTGGTGGGGCTGGTAACCGCCACGCTGCTCAACTTTCTCGTCTGCTTCGGGCCCTACAACATCTCCCACGTCGTGGGCTTCATCCAGGGCAAGAGCCCGACGTGGAGGAAATACGTGCTGCTCCTCAGCTGCCTGAACTCCTGTGTCGACCCTCTGGTCTACTACTTCTCGTCATCTGGGTTCCAATCCGACTTTCACCAGCTGCTGGGGAAGCTGACCGGGTGCTGCGGCCCGTGCAGGCGGAAGGGCAGCGTGAAGCTGAAGTCTGAGGGAGAGGGGCGGATGCAGGGTCTGTCCCATGAGGACAGACCCCAGGAGAACAGCTGGGCGGGTGACCAGACCGGGGTGCCCAGCTCAAGCCCGGCAGAACTTTAGGGTGGCAGGTGCAGACTGAGGACACCAGGCACAGGAGGTGCCCCATCTTCCGAAAGCCCAGCTCTTGCTGTCCCCACACACTGCCCTTCCTCCCCAGTCCCTCCCACCACATGGGTCCCCTGGGAAACTGGTCTAGGTGACAGGGAGCTCTGGAGGAAAACGAGCTGTCCAGGAAAAGGGCCAACACCCTACTTTCCTCTTTGTTTTTCTGTCTGGGTTATGACCCTGGATCTAGGTCTGTGTTATTTTCTGAATCTGCATATTTTACATATTTTATTATGGAGACACATTGTTTATTTTCTGTGTTCCTCTGCTGGGGTTTTATGCCCTCACTGACTGTGGAGACACGGTCCCTTCCCGGCTAGCCACTTTTAACCTGTTTAATTGTTTTCCCTGCCACCATGCCCTGCATCTCTTGTCTAGTTCTCCCTCCCTCTCCTACTTCAGAACCCTCACTTCGTTTATCAACGTCTGCTAGTATTTTACTTGGTCAAATTTTCCACTATGTAAATGACCAGTATTTGTCTTTGTTATTCTTTTTTTTTTTTTTTCCCGGTGCACACGGCGAGCTCATTAAAGGAAAAGAGACAGGTTGACGCCTGCGTAGACACAGGTTCTCGGGCAAGAGCTGCCTGTGTGTGTCGTTCTGACTCACCTCACTGCACACAATTCCCTCCAGCTCCCCCTTCTGCTGTAAGTGGCTGCATTTCCTCCTTTCTTCCGGCTGAATGGTGCTCCCTAATGTGGATAGGCCACATTGTCACGATCCAATCATCTGTCCGAGGGCATTCTGTGGTTTTCTGAGGGTAAAGGTGGAGCGGAGAGGCATGTCCAGGGCCCGAGGGAACAGCCGGGTGTCTTGGGACAGAATCCATTCCCTGCCAGGCCTGATCCAGAAGATGGGGGGACCCTGGGCTCTAGGCAGCTGGGAACATCCCGCTCTCAAACGGGCTTTTCCAGAACATTCCCACTGTCTAACAAAGTCAGATTTCCAGGGATGTTTTTGGAGAATGTCAGAAGAGAAATTATTTTGAAATTATCAAAATTATTTTTTAAAAATTAAATAAATTGGGCAGCAAGTAAAAGAAAGGTCTCTCTGTTAGGGGGAAAAGGATGTCCCAAAGCAAATTCCATATAGGCTTTGTGGACTCCACCCCCACCCCAGGTCAAAGCCAAAGACACTGGGAACTCCAAATCCCATCACCACCAAAGGGAAGGTGGCTGGGACCTGAGGGTGGGGTTAAGCAGCCAGGTGGATACAAAAGGCAGACACGTGGGCTTTGGGGGCTCTCTCCATTTTTGGGCTCTTGGCCAGCAGCAGCGTCCGGCCAGCTCTGAGAGTGACTTTGGGTTTCCAGGTCGTCGGATCGGGTAGGACGCATTAAAGACTTTATTTCCCTATTTTCTCCCTGAGTTGTACATTTTCCTTATTTCTTTTTCTCTTGTAAATAAACCTTTTATTAACCCTTTTGTGTGTGTCTGTAGTGGAGTATTAATAAGTCCCTTTAAAGCGCGCGGGTGAGGACCCACAGCCAGGAACCCGTTTAATATCGGGGTTGCTCTATAACATCTCCTCAGTCTGTTTTTAGATTGTGGTGTATGCGGTGGGGGGCAATGGTGGGTGGAACATCGAAACACCTGGACTCTGAAGGGAGAGGGCTCAAGAAGCTGGGAGAGGAGCTGGGTTGGGGGCACGAAGAGTAGCTCCCCGAGCTTAAGGGCTCATTAACTTCTCTCATTATTCCTGGTATAGACGAGGGAAGTCTTGTAGGAGCAGGAGTGGAAGCTGGAATCACTTGGCTCCAAACCCCAAGTCTTGCCTGGAGGCTGTTCTGCCTGGAGCTGTGCCCCACCCACAGTGGCAGGGGTCCTTGAACGGCTGGAGTCAGCTGTGCAGCTGCCCGGGCCCATGTAAACCAAAGACCTGATAATGGCAGTGCATGCAAAGCAGAGCCCCTCTCTGAGCGGCTCCACCCTCGTCCTAGACCAGACACGTCTTGAAAACAATTAAGTGAGCAAATGAATCAGCACTGTGACTTCAGGTGACTGCAAGACAAATGTATGCTCCGAAAAACTATTTTTACCAAAATGCGATCACTTAGTAAGTTTTCGTTTTCCACTGAGCGGTGGGACATGAGCGAGAGCTGGGCTGGGTGTCTGCTCCCAGCCCAGTAACCAGAGAAATGCTGGCAGCCGCGTGAATTCAGCCCCCGGGGTAGAGAAATGTTTAGTGTGGGAGCAGATGCTGGACTCAGAGTTCCAGAGATTTCAACGGTCCTGTCTTTAGCCCCTGCTTTCTTCCTGGGGTTCAGACTGGGAGGGTGGGGACCAGCTGTGGGTGGGGTTTGGGTTCAGGTGGAAAGAGACATCCTCTCTGTGCAGAGATGAAGGCCTGCCCTGTGTCTCTGTCCCGTGGCTCACCTGTCCATCCCAAGGCACTCAGGCCTGGCAGCCACTGAGAAATGAACACAAGCAGGGGTTACTGTGGCTGGGAAGGGAACCAAGGTGGCATGGACTCGTGGGTTGGCAGTCACCCAAATGAGGACCCAAGTCAGAGGAAAGGGAGCAGTGGGGAAGCTGGTGTTTCAGAGAGAACCATGAAAAACTCTGCCTTGGGCTTTCCAACAGGGAACGTGAGGCAGCTTAACCCTCTGCCATCAGCCGGCACGCCCCATAGTCTGTGTAGATAAAGACCAGGGGGAGGGGATGAGGAATCACCAGGATCCGGGGCAATCCTTGGGTGGGACCCCCAAAACTTAGGGCAGTGCCACCCAGGAGACCACACCCAGAGGCTGCCCCAGGTGCCCTGGCCCACCGGACAAGACTCAGCTGATAAGGGAGTGGGGAAGAGGTCAGAAGTTCAGAAACACTGTGACCAGAAACCTCTGGAAGCCCTCCAAGAAGTCAAGGAAGTGGCAAAGATGGCTCGGTGCAAGCTGGCTGGGGGCAGTGAACTGGGGTCACTGCAGGCTGTCTCTAGACCAGCTGACTGTCCATAAATAAACCCATCAGTCAGGGCAGGCAACAGGGTGGGCCAGAAGCAGATAGGAGGTGAGGGCCAGAGAGGCAAGCTGACCGGATGCTTTCTTCAAGTTGCTGCATCACCTGCAACCAGGAGCTGGTGGAGGGCTGAGCCAGGGGCCCCTCGGGCAACACGTGTCTGATGGGGCGGGGAAGCTGTGAAACAAAGCAGGAGAGGTCGCTGTGTTTCAAGTGCTCCCTGTTATAAGAGGAGAGGGTTGGGGAGGAAGATGTGGGGTGAAGAGCAGATGGGCATGCGCAAGAATCTGGGGACTCTGCAAAAGTTATTGCAAGAATCAACCAAAAGGAGGCAGGGCAGTAATAACAATACCTGGCGGCCGATTCTGGGAGAGAATTCGGGGCGATAAGGGTGTGGATGGAGGAACAAATAGAGCAAGAGTGTGAGAAAGGGCTCAACTTTTCATCTTCCTCTCTCTGATGTGACCTCTGGTTTAAAAAAAAGAAAAAGAAAAAGCTGCAAGCAATACAGGTAGTTGTGACTCCCGAAACACACAGGCTAGGAAGAGAGGCTTGTTGGCTTCCTTTTAAGGCCAGTTCTGAAGATCCAGTGACACAACCGAGGCATCAAGATGGTGGCCTGCGTTCTGGGGAGAGGAGGTTGGGATCACATTCTAGAAACAGAATGGAATAGAAGGAATGACACCTGATGGACAGAGGTGGAAATGGGCAATGCATGAGGCCTACCATGCACTGAGAGGTGCGTGGTCAGGGCAGAGAAAAAGCTGCACGAGAGGCTGCACGAGAGGCAAGGGACACAGAGTATTTTTGCTTCTTTTGTGTGTTAACTGTTTAAGTTGAAGTATCATTGTTGTACACCCTTGTTAGTGTCTGGAAACACAGGATGTTCCCCGCCCGCCCCCCCCCCCCATCGGCTATAGTCATCTTAGCTCTCCCTCCACCAAAGCACCCATAGTCCTTCTTCCCCTGCCCTTCTCACCCCCTGGATGCCTCCCAGATCGATGGTTAGCTTTCTAGGATTGGCTTTAATGTTTATCTCTGACCCTTTGCTTGGTTTCTCTGTATTCCACATGCAAGTGACATCACCCGGTATTTATCTTTCTCCTTCTGTCTTATTTGGCTTAGCATAATCCCTTCCAGCTCCACCCATGTTGCTGGAAATCTTTTTTGATCACCCAGACCACATCTTCTTGATCCCTTCATCTGTTTGGGGACAGTTAGGTTGTTTCCATAGTTTGACTAGTATAAATAGTGCTGTAGTAAACATAAGAGCGCAGGTTGACTTTCAAATTAATGGGGACTCAACCTGAGGTGGTGGGGGGGAGCAGATATTGTTTAAAAATAAAAAAATAAAAAATAATTAGTGCTTTTGCATTCTTTGGGTAGATTCCTAGGAGTGGAATTGCTGGGTCGAATGGCACACCCATTTTTAGTTTTTTGAGAAAACTCCACATTTTTCATAAGGGCTGCACAAGTCTACATTCCCACCGACCGCGTAAGAGGGCACCTTTTTTCTCCACACCCACACCAGCATGTGTTGGAAGAGGGGAGATTTTGCTGAACTTAGACTAGAAGGGTAAAGTGAGCCAACCAAATCCACCATCCCCTATTGCAGACCCTCCCCCAGCCTCTGTGATCAAGATGTAGTTGGCGCTAATCATGACAGTCTTGTTTCCCTTTACGTGACTTGTCTCAGGGTGGACACATGACCCAATTCTAGCCAAAAAAAAAAAGTAAGAAGTCTGGGGCCTCCCCTGGTGGCACAGTGGTTGAGCGCTGGTCTGCGAAGCTGCCCACAGCCTCTGCAGAGCCAGTTCGATCCCCCGCCGCCGGGTGGGTCCCACATGGCATGCAGACCTCTCCTGCCGTGCCCGCTGCTCCTCTCAACAGTGTATTTCGTCAGTCTGCCTGTTCTGTTCCCCACTCTGGCTCTGGTGAATTCTCTCACCCTCCTGAGCTTCTGACTGTACCCAGTGCTTGTATAAATAAATCTTTAAAAA